CATACCAAGTGGCATATTGGCAAGAAGAGGGACAGTCTTGCCAAAGTTGAACATCTGCGTACATTATTTAAATCAAAAGCCGACGTATCAAAAAGGGCTTGTAAAACCAGATGACCTCCACTTTCAGAATGATTGCTCGAAGTAATTTTAACTATGAGGAAGAATAAAGGCCTGTAGCTTAAGTTGGCTCGTAGAGCAACGTTATCCAGTTTAATCATCTGGGAAAAAGAGGGATAAATATATCCTCAATTAAATCTGATAAGCTAATATTTACCAGCAAGTCATTGTCGTTTGCAGCAAGATTGCCAAGAAGTATATTCGTTGATTACGCTCTGAAAATCCCCTTGATGACTTCTGGAAGATGCAACATGAGATTAAGATTGTTGCATGTGCATATCGGCAGTAGCCCCGGTGATTTTTGCTCAGCTTCCGAAGGAATCATAACCGGTGACACCACCTTTGTAATTCCATTCAGTTCCTATCAGTAAATAAAATTTCATAGGTCTTTCAAGTTCATCTTCATCGTCAAGCTTAATGGAAATTTAAAAAACAAAAAGAAAATTAGATAGACAGGTAAATATAAGGTTTTGGCAGCTATCAATGATAGCACCATTAAGACTCAAGAATAAATTCAAGGTGGTATTTTTAATGAGTATTAAATTTAACATAGTAAGACAGATTAATAAACTCTTTTGCATTCACTCTAACAAGGCATATAATACGTCAAAGTCAGCCTTGAAAATCAACCTGAACCTCACTAGAAGGTGATTTATCGGGGACCTTGGCAGAATTTATGGGACTCATGATCGAGTTTGTCATACCGTCTAAGTTATCATTGTGCCTCTTTTCCAAAGAGGTACAAGGATGCCCTTATTAATAAGATAAGTAATGAAGTATGAAAAACATTAAACAGTACGAGAGCTTTTACAGATAAAACATATATGAATTAAAATTTGATTTTGAATACTGCAATAGTTTGATCTTTGTATAATTTTTATTTCGTTAGGAGAGGCAAGACGAATTGGATCTCAGGAAGCGAAAAATTTATTTTGGACTTATGATTGTAGATTTTTTGAATAATTTCTCAGAGAATCATTCCACTAGCTTATATAGAGGCTCCAGATGAGCGTTTATTCTTTAAACTGAATTTCCATTTTTCCCTGTAGGTCGTCAAACTGCAGTAAATTCTCTCTCAAGAATTGCTCAACCAGAACTTGTCACTTCGAATGTCGTGGCGCAAAGTCCTTTTCATCTCTGTGGAACTTTGACTCCTACTTCTGATCCTCCGAAGGCATTGCCTACTATCATCAGTTCTGACACTCAATCTATCGGCCATCTATGTAAGATATCTCCCATGGACACTCTGCAATCTGATATTAGGCCTCAGAGAGGGTATATGTCAATGTCTACATTATCATCCAGTTTACATTCATCTGCTGCTTCATCTATAGTCGGTACACTTACTTCGTCTTTCGCGTCGTCATCAACACTTCCAACCTTTCCAACCGATCAAACATCGAATATTCACTCGGTTCCCTCGACTGGTTATATGATCCCGTCTCTCTCTTCATCAATGCCCCAACATTCTTTTCATTCCCCTTCGATCAACTCGTCTGTGCTGATTAACTCACTTTCTCCCATGCCAGCTCTTTCATCACTCTCTCATACAGGATCCATAGTTCAATCAGCTCCCCAACCACTGCTTCATTCTGGATTATCTCTACCAAATGTAGTCACATCATCTGGAGTTTACGTCCCAAGTCATCATCATGCTCAAATGGGACCCAATTTGATTAATACTAATGGAATCATAGGTTCAACTGCCTCTTTTCTCCATCCTACGGTAATTTATCTTCTTATCTTTATTAATCTTCATTTAATAGATCTATACTTAATTCCTAAAGTTAAAATTGTTAGATAAGCAAAAAACTTTTTATAGTTTTCAATATAGGTAATCTTAATTTCTATAGATAACCCTTATTAACGACTGATTCACAAATTATGTTGGTACGCCTCATTTTGTTTTAACTGACAGGTAGAAATGATTTGCAAATTTGCCTTGGAAATAAATTTATTAGAGAATTCCTCGAAATCCATTGTTTCAGACACGACTTATAATCGATACAAATTTCTCTCATTTGTCATAATAGATCTGGGGAGTATCTTTTTAGTGCTTAGCTTCTCTTTTTCGTGACGTCTACTCAAAGTTCGTGTTTAAAATTGAATATTTTTTTATCTTGATTTTGTTTCTAAAATCAACCCCTAACTAAAACTGGATCGTAATAGCGACTTAAATTATATAGGTAGTGTTTTAAAAGTAGAGCTATCTTGCATTGAAAACTTGCTACACCTTCCATTCTCTTGATTCTTTATATAAACTTCTTCTGTTCTATGTCCAAGACATTATTTTTACTCTTCTATCAAATTGTGCGTGCTTATTACTTCACATTATCCATTATTACCTCCATCTATTTCAATGTCTTCAGATAACTGCATTTTCCTCTATTTTCACTTAATTGCTTGAAAATCTATTTGTTGTAAAAGTCCAATATTCATTATGAAATTTTGGATTAGACGATGAAGAGCTGGCAGTTGAATTTTCTCACAATAATATGAGTGGGCCCTAAGTTTCCGTTGCATTCCATATAGCCTTGCTTCCCAAAATTTATTCTTATTCTGAGTAGATGCAATTTCAACCTCGCATAGGCGTCAACAGCACTCCAGGGGGACTGAACCCAAATAGTGGTTTTGAGATTTTAAGCTGCACTGTCAGGATTCGAGTCCTCGAGGTGCTTAGGAGACCTAGACGAAGTCGAAACTGTAGTCCGTCCTGGATGGGAATGCCTTTTGGGAAGCAAGGCTATATGGAATTAAATGGAAATGTGAGACTCCAACTTATATCATTCTTGAAAGCTTGTCACCAGTCGTCATTCGTCACTTTAAGCGAAATATGGTGAACACGGTTCTTAATTAAAATCTACTGGTAATCTTGAAAACCTACGAAACGAGAACTATATGTCTTATTCAACTTTACCCCCATTTTCTGTAGCGAATTTTACTACGAAAACATTTAGACTGCTCATCTCCTAAATATACATTTTTTGGATAAGATAAAAGTAAAACTCTTATCGTTTGAAAACAAGTTGTAAAATTGCCATACTCAATCTAATTTTATCCTTGGGCTGCTTAAAGCGAGATCTAAAATGCTGACTAAATGGAATATAGTTGAATGAGGAGATGCCATAAATCACAGCATCTAACACACCCATAGACATCGTTCGTTGAAGGGCGAATCAAAATTTTTGTGAACTAACATTACCTTCAAATAAAGGTACTATTCAGTCAATATGGAATAGGAAGAATTATGCATAAACTTATGTCTATTATAGCGTCAAAAAGAGCTCGTTTACTTGTGCATAGATCCAATGCTACATTTTTCAGTTCATTTACAACCTTTAACTTCGTTGAACACGTGTTCCACAGAAAGTGGAATAAATCCTAGTTTTGCATACTTTCAGAGGTAGGAAAGCTAATTTTTGTATAGCGAAGCCTTCCCATCTATGCTCCAACTCTCATGTGAATAAAAGGCCTGAACCCTAAGTACAGTGCGTTAGCCTGCTGAAGAATAAGGAGATTGCACTAATTTCAAATTATGGTTGAAATGAGAAAACTGATAAATTGGAGATAGTGTCTTCAGTATTTTTGGAATTCATATTATGCGAAAGGGAATGTGGTCTAGTCTTCTCAAAATTTGCGACGAGCTTTCGCCACGCTTAGTTAGCCTTCGAAGAGTACGGTCCCTTTAG